TGAGAAAAACAAACATGCTTTCTAACTAGTACCTTTTGAAAATGTGCTTTTATTGTTCACAACTTTCCTAATCCTTGTTGAAATATTTTCTAATTATCTTTCCAGTAACTTTACAGGAGAAAGTGGAAAACTTTTTCCTGGTGGATCAGGGTTATCATGCTTTATGTAATTAAAGAACGGGATTGTATGAGACATAGGAATGGATGCAAATGGGACCGTGGCTCCAAGTAAAAGGAAGAAATTACATTGGTATGAAATCAAGAAATTTATGATCAAGATGAAAAAAGCAAAATCATGAAATTAGATGGAAAAGGTCAAAAGATAAGTGATTGCGGGCTAAAGGCTAAGTGGGAATCCAAAAGGCAAAAGCAATTTTCCTTTCTACAAATGTACTACGGTTTGCCGTTCCTTTCCTTGTGCGTGCTCTGATAATTCAAGGCTTGAATCTTTGCAAATTGTTGTAAAAAATAAAACCGCGGCACAAATCAATCAACACTACAAAATTAGGTTAAACCCTTACTTTGGTCCCTGAACTATTAACGGACCCTCAATTTGATCCTTAAACTAAAAAAATTCTTGATTTGGTCCCTATTGTTTACCATTTTAACCTCGATTTGGTCCTCCCATTAAAGATCTGCTTGTGTCCTGTTACTTGACGGGAAAATGATGACATGTAAAAGCATTTTGACACCTAGCATGTACAGCGTGGCAAAAAAATGAGTTGGCAAGAAAAGATCTTAAAAATTTTCTTTTTCCTTTTTTTTTTTTTTTCTTTCTTTGTTTTTCTTTTTTCCCTTTCTTCTTCCCCTCCCTTTCCTTTCACCTTCTGCAAACCCTAACACCTCCTAATATTATATCTAAGGATAACACAATAAATCAACAGATCGAACTCAATAGATCCTTTGATTCAACTGCAGTTGGGTTGGAAACAGAACCCAACGCTTGTTGGGTTTGATCACCTGCTAGGTTCAAAATTGAACCCAACACTTGCAAGAATATGAGGATAACACAACAAACAACAAATCCATAAATAGATCGAACTCAACAGATCCATCGACCCAACGGTTGCTGAGTTTGAAACAAAACCTAACAAATAACAGATTGATAAACAAATTGAACTCAACAGATCTAGCGACCCAATGATTGCTGGGTTCGAAACAGAACCCAGTGCCTGTTGGGTTCGATTTCGAACCCAGTAGTTGCAGTAGCTGGGTTCGATCGCTTACTGGGTTTGATTTCGAACCCAGCACCTACAGGAACCCAACGACTGCCTTGCCTTCTTCATCTTCATCCAACTGCAAGAGCCCAACGGCTGCTTTGCCTTCTTCATCTTCATTAATCAATTTATCATCATCATCAAACAACAAAACCCAAAAAAAGAAAACATATATATATATATATATATTTTTTGCCCATGGGTTCGATG